AGCCAAGAATGGTGAAACCACCGCAAACGTTGACCAGATAAAACCATTCTATAATCGTAATAAAATGCCATATTCAAGATATTTTGCGATGCACGCAGGCACAAGCTCCAGAAGTGGAACAAGACAATCACAAGGGCAAGCCATAGTAGGCAGGAACAATTGAAAGAAATTCCCCGTTGGAAAGGGTAACAAGAAAGAAGCCGTTCCACCACCAGAAAAGATGAGGCACGACCACCCCAGAATGAAGAAGAAAGTACGCTAATGCAAGAGAGCCAGGAGAAATGACAGCAAATATAACGGGGCTCCAAAACGGAATCTACCATCGGATAGGAGTCTACGCAGCAAATGTCGACGAATTGATGAAGGAAGACGAGCTGCATCAAAAAAGAAGAAAAATTTGAACAGCCAGCAACGAGATCCAGGCAGGAACGAGAGACAGTTGTCCCGGTTCCGCCAGACTGCTGCCATCAAAACGGCGAGACCACAGGCAGAAGCTAAAAAAGGTCTTCAAGGGTGAACGCACTGGAAGAAAAGAAAGCTCAGGGGAAGAAACCGAAGGGGCGAACCCGCACAGAAGGAAGATAAACCCAGACCGTCTTCGCTACCTTCCAGGATGTGCAGAAAAAAAAATTCTGAATATCACAAAGATAAGTAAAATTATGTTACTTTGAAACCTTAAGTTAATTTTTCATCTTACTGCAAGTGGCAGAATTCAAGAAGGTTTACCTCATGTGAGGCCTACCTTTATCTCCAAAAAGGCGAGAAATGAGTTACCTATTTGGTATTATGTTTTTCAATTACTCGCGAGTAAACTAAAATTAATATAACAGGAATGTGTAAATACTGAATGTTAAAGCATAATCTTACGAAAGGACCTTAAGAAAATTGTAAAATTATGTATAAATTTTACTTTAAAAGATTCTGGCAAGAAAGAGTTTCAGTTGAAAGACTTTGAAATGGTATTTCAATGAGAAGAATTGGCACTGCTTGGAACGAATAGAAGTTAACAATGTGCTACTAATGTATTTGTAAAATGTGTAAATTAACGGATGTTAATATTTCCCTTATACAATGTGAAAGGTTATTTAAGAGTTAAGAATACTGTGATATGTGAAAGTGAAGTATTAGCCAAAAATTTTAACTTATCGTGTGACTGTAAAAAGAGCAAATTATGTGACTATGTGTTAAAGGTTGAATGATGTGTTAGGCTCTCTGATGCTACACTTCAGAGTTAGCCACTTTTCATAAAAGTACCTCAGGGTTTAGAGATGAATATAAGGTGTGTTTCTGAGGTCTTGTTATGTTGAATTTTAACACGTTAGTGTTTGATTGCAGGCGGTAGTGTTGAACACTGACATAAACAAGCCGTGTGTTGGTGTTTTCTTTACAAACATGTCAGAGAGCACGGGGAGATAAATTAAATAAGTCATGAATGATATAAGAATTTTAAATGAGAAATATAAATATTCATGTTACTTGCCATTTGGTTGTGTAACATTTCATTAAACTAGTTTTCTTCCAGATCTCTGGAAGGAACCAGATTTCAACTAAGAAACTCCTGTTATAGATGCAGTACAGATGAAAAATCTTGTCCATGGAGTTGATAATGTAAAAACGACTTTTTTTAATTTCTAGTTTCTAATGAGAAATGTTTGTAAAAGATTGGCCTCGCGTTAGATTCTAGTTTTCAACAAAAGTTTAAAGTAAAAGTTTTCAACAAGGTCGTTTTAGACCTCAATTTCAAACTAATTAACTCTGGCGGGAAGTATGTAAGGATCCTAAGTTTTACTAACGTTTGTTTTATTTTAAATCTTTACTATCACTTCTTATTTTCTACTTCCCGCCAGAATTAAAAGCTTTAACTTATTTATGCAAATTTGTCTTGCTAACGCCAAGTACTTAAGTTGTGGCTTTTTGCCAAGCAAGAGAGAGGAAGGAGTTATTAGAAGCAGGCCGCTGGCCATAGTAGTTTTACTCGTTTGCTGGTTGCCTTCAAGGCCAGAGGTTTAGTCCTTTGATAATTTCAAACGTATCGTAGTTTTAGCAGTCTCTGTACTACATACGAATTTGTTAAATAAGGGCCAATCTTAAAGTTAGGCACTTGATATTAATCTAAAGTTAGTTTTAGTTAGAGTTAGTTAATATTTTTATATTCTACGTTCAGACCACAAGTGGTGGTCTCTGTATTCCGAAGTTCCGGAAATCGCTGTAAAGATAGAAAAATAAAGGTTTTCGTATACCCTTCCTGTGTGTATTGTCTACTTCAGAAATTTATTGAACATAGCTTGAGTAAGCTCCCTGTTCCGAGTCAGGACAGTTCATGTTTCCAAAGCAAGTAAAGCGGAACACAAGTCCTGATAACGATAAGCTCATAAACTTTGAAACGACAATTATATTTTTGACTTTTGAGTTTGTATCAGCATAAGTTTCTTTCATGTACTTAGATATTCTTAACTGGTAACTAACTAAATAAATAAATATTTAAATACTAATGGAGTCATATTTTGAATACTTGTCTCTACCTCCTAAATTATAAATGGGTGTTGAGCCGTCATATTCAGAAACAAATTCTGAAACAAATTGTAACCTATGGAGCAGTGATAGGGGAAATTTCAATGATTTAAAGGAAAAAGAAACTGCGAGCCACCCAGAGACCATTCCTGTTAAGCATTAGAAGAGACTGCAGAATGAAGTCCAATGTAGCATTTTATTCTCTTACAGAATCCAGAATCTACTACCCTTTTTTTTAACAGCAATAAAAGTAGACATCCGGATTACTTTTTTATCTCATTCGTCTAATTGCACCATAATCCATAATTAATAATTTTGATTATTATTTCGTACCGTGAATTTAACAGTATTAAATCAGAACTGTACAAGTTACTTGAATAAAGATTAATGAGAAATAGCGATTGAGTTTGTAATTCTATGCACCAGTTAAACAGATTCTTTATTTTCATCAATACTGAGAAACTACATTGGATTGCATCAAATATTCCACTGAACGGAATTAAACTTTGATATTAATATATGAAGTTATTAGGAGTATTTAAAAATTAATAATTTATTCTAACTGAGATTCTTTCAATAATCATTATTCGTGACTGTAAAGCTTAAAGCTGTCTCTTATCATTCATTTCTAATTAATATTTTAGCAATGAATATATAAATGTTATTAATATGGGATTAATATATGCGATCGAATAACTATATAAGGGAAAAAATTCAGATAATAGATGTAATAGATGCACATAAACACTACAATAAGAAGAGGAATTCCATATTATGCAGAGTTTTTTTTACTTTCTTAGTACGCAAGAAATTCAAAGGTGCAAATAAGAGACATTAGAATAAATGTAAGAAATATTGTAATTTAAAATATACGAATTAAGATCACATGTAACATTTAGAATTTTGTTTTACATACTTTCCCATATGGACTTTCAGTATAGCTTCAACTGTCATTTTATATATAAGCATTTAATATCACATGTAAATTTTTGCACAATATTCTTATGATTTATTTACTTAATTTAAAAAAATGTTTGGAAAACATTCAATCTAAGTAAGCTTACTGCATAAGCTTACTTAGATTGAATGTTTTCCAAAATGTGGTATGTGAACATGTCATCATCATTGTGATTAAGTGGATATTTTGTAGTCTTCACATAATTTTATATCTTCAAATAATCTAGTCAATAAGCCACAATTATTAACAACGATTCAAATTTTGAAAAATAATTTATGTACACATATGAATTAAATTATCTCATTCATATGAGTTGTTGAAAATACTGTGAAATACGTTCTGTTATCATTCTAACTGAAAATTTCTTTGCTACCTGTCCTGTCGGTCTTGACAGGCCAAGGGGATGGCTTTTAAGGGTGCTTTACAAGGGGGTGTGTAATTCAGCGAGGTAGGCGTTTGTGTTAAACTGTTAGTATGTCGGGACTTTATCTGGTGACCCATGGTGACTGAAGGGTGTCCCCCCATACTTCAATCTGTAACCTGTGCTTTCCATCCAGAAGCAGTTAGCACTTACGTCACAGGTCCTAATCTCTTCCGTTACCGCTTCAAGGCACCCTGTTGATAGATATTTGATCCCACAGGACCGATTAATCACCCACCATTACAACTGTTTGCATTTGTGTTATTTTAGAACCTGGATTGCTATAGAATGGAATAACGTTGTTTTTAGTGACGAATCCAGATTCACTGTCGGAAATAAGGACGGAACGTATTCATCTCTGAAAGTTCTCTGGTTAGCGCCTGAATCCTACTTTTATTGTCGAGCGCTGCACGTCCTCAAAAGATGGCATTCTAGGGTGGAAGCCATCGCGTACAACTGCTAGTCTTCCCTAATACTGATCCAATGAACAGCGACATAACAGTGATGGCACATCCTGTTGCCGCATAGGATGCCTCTCATGGAAGGGCTTTCTGCAGCCATATTTTAGCAAGCTAATGCTCAGCCGCACAAGGAAAGGATATCACAACAATGTCTCTGACAGATTGGCACCCTTACTTAACTTGCACGGTCCCAGATTTAATCCCAAAAGGATAAGATCATCTTGGAAATGCACTTCAACAGCCTACCAGTGTGCACGATTTAAAGGTCTAGATAGAGCCGCTGTGGATAGAAATGCTCTAGGATACGAGTCATACGTATCCATATTACATATTATATCCAGCCTTCTCAGCAGAATACCAATCTCTTTTCATGTGTTAATTGTTTTGCAATAAATTATTCTTTTGCTCTGATACTGTAATAATTCATTTGTATGAACATTACAGTCACAGACTTTAAACTCCTTCCAATTTCAACAATTTGCTATGTGCATTCCTTGCAGAAATTTAATGTGAACGTGTGTATATATATATATCACATTTATAAATAATCAAAATACCATTTTAAATACTAGCAAAATATTAAACTTTTTAATTTTATATTAAAAATGTGAAATGAAAGTACTAAAAATTAGCTATTTTTAGACATTACCCAGAAGTAATTTCTTTGGAATCCTGGGATCTTCGTATGCAGCTTTCCAACGGAATGTAAGTAATCCAGGAAATAATCAACGTTATTCAGTTTTTTAATGCTCTCATCCAAAGTACTCATAACAATGCCAGCATGTTGCGCCAGTTCCATACTATCTCGATGAAATTCATGGAATCTCTTGTGTTGGAATTTTTGAAACAAGTGTAGAATGTCTTCATTGTCTTCGAAAAGTCTGTAAAAGAAATAAGAATATATAAAATGAAGTTACAGGAATACACTTGGTCAGATTCCTGAAATATACATTAATTTAGTAGTTTTTAAAAACTACGGAGGAAGTCCTTATCTTGGTTGTCTATAGATGCTTTTAAGCAACAGCAGTGTTACTTTATGCCTTTGATTTATTTTTATGCGAAGGCCTACAAGATCATAAATAACTGTCTTAGTAATGTCGATTGTTCTAGCTAAATTAGAGTTCTTTAAGAGCTAGAATACTGAAGAACTGTGTAGCGACTTTTCGATGAGTTCTTCTAAGTAAGGAGTCCAAAGAAGGGTTAAATTACCCTTAATTCCAACTCAAAATAGATTAACAGACGGCCCCCTTCTCGGGCTTAAGGGGACTCATACACCTTAAAACCCATAAGATGTTCGAATAGGTGACTGTTGCAAGAATCGGGGTAACTTATTTATTTTAAAAGCAATTACTACCAACTTTTTACAGCTGACTACATAATATAGCTGCTTTCTGAAATAGTCATCAGAAAGTTTGTGTTGCCACAAATATTTTTATAATTTAATCCGCTTTGTGACAACATTTTTCGTCATGTTTCCAACTTGCGCGCACAGTTTAAAACATTTTGTTTCATAATTAATTTCATATTTAATATATAGATTTTATAACATTTGGAAACTACTGTGAACCTAAAATTCTAAAACTTTCATGTTCAATTTTTATTTATTTTGAGTTGAGTTTATAAATGTATTTTATTAACAAAATTTCTAATGTTTTCGTCATAAATTTTTCAGTATTAAAATATTATCAGATTGTTGGTTCAGTTCGAAAATAGTGCCTATATAAAGAATTCCATCCAATTTCAAGTATGTACCATTAGCCATTTTTAAAATATCATGCGCGCAAGGTGGAAACATGGCGAAATATTTTGTCACAAAGAGGATGAAATAACAAAAATATTTGTGACAACACAAACTTTCTGGTTACTAGTTTCTAAAGCAGCTATATTATGTAGTCATCTGTAAAAAGTTGGAAGTAATTGCTTTTAAAATAAATAAAATATCCCAATTCTTGCAACAGTCACATATTCGAAGATCATGAGGGGTTTAAGATGTATGAGTTCCCTTAAAATAAGCCTCCACTTGGGATTAAACTCAAGAAAGAAGATATAAAACCATACTAATAAATACTAACTAAAATGATTCAGACGAAGCTACACAGAATTAACTAACAGAGTTGGCCCTTAGTTAAGCCCCAATGAATACTAGCAGGCACGTAACACTATAGCCTAATAACAGAAAGCTTAAACTATCAACAACAATGTGGCCGAAAAGGCAGAACACGCTGTCTTACTCTCTTCCAGTCAAGTGACCCAGACTTAAGCTTAAATAGTCGTTTTTACCTCATTCACATAAATCAATATCCTAAAAACTCATTCTAGCAGAGAAACGTAAGTGGGAAACTAGAAGGTAAAGGAAAGGCTTGTTTCAAAATAAAAATAACTATTAGGAAAATAAAATTTTATAAATAAAATAAAACCCCTGCATGGAAAACATTACTTAAACGGCAGATGATTTATCAAAAATCTTTTCGCCATTAAATTGTATCAAAATATTAAGAATTATTATAATGCATTCTTCTGAATGACGTGCTCTGATGTTTTCTGCAAGCCTCGTACATAAGCGATCCAAAGAAATAAGTGTATAGCTACATTGTGAATAGTTCAGTCTTGTATTTATTACATTACTGTATAAGTCTGCAAATAGCGTTAATATAAATATGAAATAATATCACAGAATGTTTTTTTTTTCCTAGCATTTTGCCTTACAATTCTGAACAGCTCATTTCAATTATCAAATTTTTGTATTTTTTACTTTAATTTCTGGAGCACTAATTCTTAAACTAGTAGGTCTATTATAACTGGTTAGCTTAAAATTGTTTCGGGTGCTATTGAAACTTGTCTTACATTTAAGCAATACTCGTAACATAAATAATAGTGCAGGATCTAGTTCGCTTAGCTATCATAAAATGTGACTAGATATTGTAAGTGTGATCCTTGCGACTTCTCGCACAGGCTTGAAGATGAGCGCAACCAGGGAAGAGTGTAAAAGGCCCTTTTATTGAATACAAATTATGTAACAGAAGGCATGGTCTTACGTGCTTACACCAATCACAGACTACTTGCGGTGAGAACGTAAAAGATAATGTAACACTAATTTAAAAGTAAAGAGTAATACGAGACTACACAATTCAATTTAAATTAACAGGTTGACTGAGAAAGCTGTACCAGCAGGATACCAGCTCAAAAGCAAGGACTAGTAGCTGTTATTAAAATTAATATCTGGTAGAAACTAACAAACGTGCTTTCACAATCGTGAAATCACGATAATCACCTAACCCTTTCGCTCCAACAGTTCAAATACACTTGTTCACCCTACTTCATTTATACCTTGGCGAGGAAACACGAGGGGAAATAAGAGAATTCAGGAAAGGTTCACAAAGTAAAATAACTATTAAGAAAATTAAACAGAACCTACCGTAGTGTCAAAGTAATAAGTTCACATGAATATGTTCATTTTGACTTTCAAGTTTGATTTTTAAAATTCTGAATAAAACTGCAAGGTAAACTTTTTCTGGGATTGAAGTTCTTTCTTATTTTCTTACCTAAGAAGTCTGATTATGTATAGAATTAGTACGTTTTGAGAAACTATATTAATTTAAAAAAAATATGCATAGTAAATTTCATTTTTTATTTTATTTTTATTTATTTATTTATTTATTTATTTTGAAAGACGAAAATTCTTTTAAGATTTAATTGATTGAAAGCTATTAGCCGACTATCAATAAATATTATGATGCGAACGTTCTGTACTCGCTTGATTTAAAAGCGAAAGTATGTGATTTCAGTCCAGTTTTGACAGCTAATGTAGTCCAGAAAATAATGTTCTTCGCCAGTTAATAAGCGGATAAAATCGAACGATATATGCAAATCAGTTGTATATATGTTTATTGTGTATTACGGTCTGCATACATGTGAATGACTACCGAATTTTACGTGCAAAAAATATTTGAAAATTCCTTTGTTATTCTTACCCCAACTTGAAAACGTAAACCTACTTCGTAAATATATTATAGATCATTATAAAAAAATAAGGAATTTTTCTGATCTCTTTTTGCGATTTTCAATTCGCTCATTAAATATCTTCTTATTTAAAATAATTTTAACTTCCTTAAGCATTTCCTTTTTGAAAAATTGGATTTTGTGTTAACGAAATCTTCAGCAAGGTGAATGTATTCTCAGATAAAATGATACAGTATTTTGAGAAGCTTTGTAATCGGAAGTACAAATCTAAGATTAAGTTTTAAGGAATAAAATCCTGTTGTCACCGGTTTTGCACAGCCTAAATAGCGTTTTATGAAATTAAGTCAATTTTATTATTAATGCACTTGAAGTAAAAAAGTAAGTAAAAGAAATTACATGCTCATTTATATTTCTGTTTTCGGTGATTCACCTCTTATCAATTTTATATGTATTTATCCCACTTACTTTCTGCTCTTCGATAGCCATTTTAAATACGCCCTTATTAGCCTTTCGTAATATGTCTTTTTTGCGATTATGCTATCTGCAGGCAATGTTGGATTAATATTTCGATGAGTGTGAAAAGAAACGCTGCCTGTAATGAGTTGAACACCAACTGCTCCTCTTTAAATAAAGGTTATATTGCTGTATTTTGAATTTAAGCTTCCTGAATTGTCTTGTCTCATTCACGAATTCTGCAAATTGCTATTAGGCTAGAATTCCTTCCGAGAAGATTTGACCGAATTCAAGAGTTTTGACGCTCGTAGCATGGGGCGTGAATTAGGGTTTCGTTTTAAGGGTAAGTGAGAATTAATTTTTTGATTATAGAGCTTGAATTGTTAAGGATAAAACGAGCAACGTTTTTTCCTTTTTAAGTCTTAGGGCTAAAATTATAACCAAAATAGAAACTGTTCTTTAAATTGAGGTGTTAGTAAGAGAAAGAAAAAACTGAAGAACTAAACGAATTAAATGAACAGTTATTGTCCGATAAAAATGCTAACTGAAACGAATTAAATACTAGCATAGAGTCTTTGATTAAGCAAGAAGAAATTGAAACCCTGAAACTGAAGTAATAGGTAGCGAAGAATATGCGGAAAAGTAATTAAATGGAAACTGAAAGTCTGTAGGTATTTTAAAGAAAAAACTAAATTAGATCAAAGCATAAATTTTACTTAGGAAGATGCTTTCAGCTATAGAGCTAACGTTATTTCTCAGTCAAAACTAGTGAAGCATCTGGAACTGAGTATTTCAAAGTAACGAAGATCTAGGCATGCGGCATACCTTTTGAAAAAATTTCCTTTCATTGAAATGAAAACTTATCTGACGTTGAAAGATTTTTATATCTGAAAAATTTGTTAGAGGAAATTTCACTGAATGCAATTAAAGGATTTGCTTTAGCGAGTGTAAATTAAAATAAAAGCATCACTTTGCTAACAACATCGTGATTAACAGTCACATGAAGTTACTAAGCCTAAATCAGTGAAGCGCGCGTTTTAACATAGTAGCTCTCTGGAAATTAGAAGATAAAAGTAGAAACTAATATTTAACCACTGGGAAATGTTTAGCGTACACGGTACGTTACGGTCATTTATTGCGTCCGATTTTAATGAAATTGATTCCGAAAAAGAGAGCTTTAGAATACAATAGAAAAAGAAAATCAAAAACAGAATATGAAGTTTTACTATTAGTTTAATTCTTAAAAATGAAAATGGAATGTTGCGAAACGTCCAGCTTATTACATGATTCGATGAAATCTAAAATATGACGGTTGCTAGTAATTACTTTAAGGAGGAAATAAATAAAAATAGCTTAAACGTATTGTTCAACCGACAGCTGCATTTTCAACCAGTGTAAAATGTAACTGCGTATTCTGAATAATATTCTAAAAAATGATTCTAAAAAATGTGTATTCTAAAAAATAAAC